TTTTATGTTTATGAAACTTTCATATATCATTTAGTATAAAATATAGTTATTAATTTTAATAATAATTATTATATGATAGAATAAAAGATATAACTATTTCTCAATTAACATAAAATGTAACGCGCTTTGATGGGTCTCTTCTCAGATCTGGAACGGTCCAATGGGAAAACGTCCGGATCTGGGACGAACCGGTGTGAATGAGCTTAGATCTGATGTGATGGCGCTCGAACCGTTGCTGAGCCGCAAGAACACCTGCAAGAACTCAACGCCGGAGGGGTTTCCGGCGTAGAGCCTCCGACGCTCAAGTCAGTATATGAGAGAGATGATGGGAGCTGCTCTGAGAGCAGCAGCAGTAATGAAAAGGATGTAGAATGAATGGGAGTTAGGGTTTTGGGCTTACCTCAGTCCTTTATATAGAAGTACAATATTTACCTGAAGTCCCCAAAGTGCCCCGGCCGACTCAATGGAAATGTCCAGAATACCCCGGTCTGTTCATATTCTGCTTACTTCCTAGTCAGCATCTAGATCCTTCCTTAGCTTCCTTCTTATCCTTAACTCTTCTTCAATATGCTGAGGTGTATCAAAGCTATCGGGAACCACGAACTGCAAGACTCCTTCAATCGACTTGAGGTATTGAGTCGAGTCGACTGGATCGCATCCCACCGTTAATGGACCCTGATACGTCTGATCGTTGTCTCGGCAGAGGTCGACTCGTTCTAGTCGACAGGTGTACGTTGACTCGGTCGAGAACCGGGCTTCTTGATTGAATACCGTGAAACCCTACTGGCGGAGTCGACTGTGTTGTAATCGACTTGGCAGTTTCGAACTAGATGATATGAACCGTTATGAGCCAATTGTGGCAATGCCACGGTTACTGAACCGTTACACGACAGTATGGCTATATCAGACTTGATGTTGGTTTTTTTTCACAAATACGAGATTTACTGCCACATCTTCATTTCTTTTTCTCTCCAATCAATAAACATGTAATTAATTGCCCAAGGACTTTGTCTCTCTCTATTTGTTTCTCTCTCCAATTAAAAAGCATGCATTTAATTCAATTAAGAATAAATATGTTTCTCTCTCCAATTAAAAATCATGCATTTAATTCATTACGGCTAGAGAATCCACAAGCAAAAAAATCAAAAAAGAACAACAAATTTGAAGCTTAAAATTAAGGGATTGGAAAGCCAAAAAAAAAAAAATGTTCTTTGTGATATGTATATATGTTCAGATATAGTTTATATATACATTAGATAAACATGATATGACAGTTCTCTAATAATAACCGTATATATATACATAAGA